ATTTAGCCATAAAACTCCTCAAAACCGAGATTTACCTTATGTTAAATGATTTTAGCCTCTACTATATTTCTACATACTAAGTGTCTCTAGAAAAATAGCTAAGTGGTTTAGTAATAATTTCTTTGGACTAAAAACACAATTTTTGGACCTAAAATGTGAAAAATACAAAAATTAAGGGCCCAAATTGACAAATCACGAATTCTGATGGATGAACTGTGTCAAAACAGTTTCAATAAAACAATTTCTGGAAATATACTCATTTAGAGGATTAAAAACATAAATTTCAAGCTTAATGGGCTAAAAATGACATTTTTGGCCCAATGAGGCCCATTATGCGAAATTTTCTGTTTTGGAGGGCCAAAACTGTGTTTTTCTGTAAAACAGTGGACTATAAGTGATCCAAGTCCTTTTCAAAGGTTTAAAATGCTTTTTAAATTTAAAAGGGACTAAAGTTGCAAAATTTTACAATTTGGGCCAAAATTGTCAAACTTGCGAAAAAGAAGGGTTATAACCGAGAAAACTGAAATTTCAGGGACTTAAGCTGTTTTCTAGGAAAAATATGCTGGAAAATATTTATTTCAATAATTTTTGGTATTAAAATGTCAAGAAAATTGATTTAAGGACCAAACCGGAAAGTATTTAAATAAAGGGTTGAAAAAGTAAATTTTTACAAACAAGGAGGGGCTGAAAACAGAAAATTTTCAAGGCTAATTCAATACATGCAATTTGACCAAATGATGGTACCACGACTATCGACGAAATACAATACATTACAACACCAAAAGTCGTTGTTAAACGAATTGGTTCGGTCTCGAACCAATAAAAATCCGAAACTACTAACACGACGACACTATGACACTACGACATTACGATTCATAACTAATAACGTTTGGGAATTCAATATACATGCGAGTGTGCACAGACGTCTACGCACCATCTTTGGGCCCCAAAAGTGTAAAATCTTGTTTGTTGAGCCTAGCTAGCCCAATGACCTGATCTTAAGGCCCGAAGACCTCTATCTTACGAAGTGTTGGGTTTTACCGATCCGACATAACGTAAAAGGACTTTCAATGGCTTGTATACTACTGGTCCCAAAAGGGTCCTTTGGTATTGCTAGTAGAGTCTACCTTTTCATGCGAGGCGGGTCTGGGACCCCTCGTACCTTTTTATCCCCAACCGGCTAATGGAGTCATCGAGGCCTTCGTGTCCTCGTTCTCTTCGGGTGTGGGACTACACGTAGTCAGGGCGGTTGGATAACGTGATTACTACGGACGACGCCTACGGGATCGTTAGTATTGCTATAGACTAGTCGTTTGTGTAACGTGTGTTTGTAGCAAATAATCATGCTCAAAAATAATCCAACGTCGCATAGTACTGATAATTTCACGCGTTGCAATTGTTTCAATGTACATTCATGTAATTCAAAGAATTAGGAAAACATCGGGTTTTCCTAGGGTATTTCAATACATACGGATTCGGAATGCACACAATTTTAAATGAACAATTTTTACAAGTATAGAAACAAACAAGCATACCTATGGATCTTCACACCTTTTTGACTATACTATTTTCAGAAAATATCGGATTTTCTGGTGGTTTTTCAACACATTACAAACATTGGATTTCAAACATTACTTATGAACTCACCAACATTTCATATGTTGACGTTTTTCAAAATACTTGTATTCTCAGGTAACAGATAAAGTGAAGGATGAATTGTACTCTATGACATTTTGCTGTGGTTTAATTTAGTATCGAACAGTTATTTTTGAGAATGTAATGTTCTGGAACAATGTAATGGATGTAAACGCTACCAGTTGTATCATTCCAAATGTTGGTGGTGTATAATGTTATGTTTCATGTATATTCATTGTGATGGTATTCAATTGAGTTACGACAGCCCCCGGACGTTTCCGCCGTCTGGTTTGGGGGTGTGACACCTACCCCTTCTGCCACGTAGCACAATTGGATAGCCGACATATGTCCGTTTTTAGGAGAATGGATTGTCGACCATGCTAGAGCGTGGCGTGCTCCTTGTCAAGGTGCGATGCACAAACCGAAAAATCCCTAATAAATTATTTTCAAGTCTCCTTCAATTCTCCACACTTCTCCAAACATTCTCTCCTAAATTTCTCTCCATTTGGCTAGAAAAATTCTTTAAATATAATTTTTAGCAAAGCTCTGAGGTCCGTGAGAGCCTGAAAACTACCAATGCAATTTTAAGACTTTTGTCGGGAAAATCTATATAAGTTAAGCTGCACTTATATGGTTTTCATTGTAACTTGTATTTATATTCATAGTCGTTGTTATGAATTTATAAATAAGATTTATCACTTATTCTAAGCCATTATATTTATTGATCTACTTACGGGGTTGATGTCTAAGCTAGATTTAGTGATGTGTTTAAAGTAGGATTTTCAAACAGTATACTCTCATGTATACCAAATGGACTATACCTCTGATATGATTTTACATGGTTGCTCCTTACTTGATAGATCTTGATGTAACATTGGAATTGTTGAGGAATCTAGATTATTATTGGCCATCAGGAATATTAGACTAAGACTAAGTCACATCAAAGAAAAAACTAAGTGTTGAAGTGAAGTGTTACCCAAAGTTCAAGTCATTCACTTTGACAAGTGAGTGCATAGTTAATTTCAACTTACATATAGATATAAAGTATCTTGATGATTAAATTTTATGTATGCCTATTATATGTGTTCCTTATATATTTGTTACGTAAAACAATATGATTACTATTGAGAGGATAAAAACTTGGTTTGCCAATTCAACACCAATAAGTATGCCTAAGTGTTGCAACTATTTTATGAAGATTTATTGTATATTGAGATGTTGTGGTAACATGTAACATGTTGCAGAAAATAAAATATGCATTAAGGATTACAATACTTATCGGCCTTTAATTTTCTTGTAATTCCATAAACTATTTTTATTGTCAACATAAATGTTTGAGTGTATACTCTTATTGATGTTGGAAAAATGATACATAAAAGCATGGTTTGGTAAAAGTGATATGGCTTCGGGAATTCTATAATTAGATATATTTCATTAAAAAATGACATTGAACGTTTTTTAATCATACAACTTCACTTACTCAAACTACAATGCAATAATTAGACATATTTCAAAAATATAACGTTTTGATTAGAAAGGAATTCTATAATAAAAAAAAAAGGTAACGTTTTTTGCTTTGAGAAAAACGACATCATTTATGTACTCACCCAAAAAATGTAAAATCAACCAAAAACAATGTTTGCATGTGGTTTATTTTTTTTGTAGCTGCGAGAATTTTTTGGTCTGGAACCGAAAACTCCAAAAATAAAATTTAACTGAAATCGATTTCAAATCAAACATATTCAAAATTTGGTTTTTTTTTTTCGTTTTTGCCAAAAATCAAAATCTGGTGAAGACCTTTCCCAATAGAAAATCAAAAAGGCGTAAATAAAAAGTTATATACTAAAATAGAATATTTTTCAATAGGAAATTACTCAATAAAATACTATTCATTGTCAAACAAAAGGGAACTAATATCAAAAAGAAGATAATTGTCACTACTGCATCGTCTTGGTACTATTTGTTACCACAAAACCGTCTGATGACAGTACATGTGTTCCTAGAAATATAACATGTTTTTTAGATGAAAATTAAATTGTTGAAAGAAACTATTTGTCGTTGCCGCTTTGTGTAGGCACACCACTAGTGTGTGTGTGTGTGTATATATATATATGATGACATATCCATAAAGTACTCATCATGGTGATTCCATAAATATAAATTTAGTAAAAATCGGACTTCATATGAGTGATATATGAACTTTATAAAATATACAACCATGCAAAAAAACTTGCACGTAAAAAGTTACGGGATATTCGTTGAGTATTAGCACAAACCATAAAAAGGAAAATGTGAGAGTTATGATTTTTTTAAGAATCATTTTAGAATAACCCCTCCTAACGACAAAGTGTCAGGTAAAAAGAAAGGTTAGAATCAACTAAATAAATCAAAAGAAAAGTTGGAGTACTCATCGAGCCCATCGCGTGTGTATTAATAGGGTGAAAAATGAAGCTCGTGCGCAAGAGTTATGGATTTTACAAATCCATTAAACTTGTGCATGCCATGCACGACGTATACTTTGACGCCGAATTCGCAAAGATGCGAACAACGTGACCGGACGAGAAGGAGGCACATGTCCGTGCCTAGGGGATTAATATTTTGAGATGTATTGTAATATTTTAATGTTTGGATCTATTTTTCTACAGTTAATATTTCATAGTAGCTTTTATATTTTTGTAATGTTGTTTCTGTAGTTGGAAGGTGCGGTTTCAAAAACCAAAAGATAAAAAACACAATTATTGGCTACAACAGGCATTAGTGGCAACAAAATGCATTAGTGGTGACATAGGAATTAGAGACGATGTACAGCAATAGAAGCAACATCTGGCGCGGTAGCATTAAACCAACATTGGTGACCTTAACGGTGACGTGTGGCCACTAAAGGTATTAGCAGCGACATTCTTCACCTTTAGCGGCAACAGACATCACCACTAAAGCTCGATGTTCTTGTAGGCCATGGCATACAGCCCCTTCTCTTTTATGTTTGCTACATTTATTACAAATCAATTAACCCTAACCTCCTGATATATTTATTACTCATATTACTTTCATTGGAAATATTAACTGTCTCTTCGACTTCTTATCCATGTCAATGACAATAATGAACTATACTTAATTGGTTATTATATAAACAAGATTTTTTAACCCAAATGTGGTACCATTTTCTTTAGATAATTATCATCCTACACATTCTTTCACACGCAATGTCATATTCCAATATAGCCATGCCTACTTTATTCTCAAAGCATAAACTAATGTGTTCCATTCATAAAGACATCACACAAGATCTAAAAGCATAAACTTTTTTTTGTTTGTAGATGTTTTGTTAATCTTTTGGTTTCAGTTGTAAAAAAATCATTTTACTGGCTAATATATAAAATTTTCATTTTCATCTACACTTAATTAATCGTTTTTGCACAAAATATATGTTCTCGACATCAAACATATGTTGCGGCCGGTGCACCCGAACATAATTAATTTGAAGAAGGTTACACCGAGCATATATATTCCCTTGGTGAGCAACTTTTTCGCACTGAACATATTATTAGTAAATTAAAAGTACAATTAAACAACTTACTTCTAAGATTAATAACTTTGAGCCCGTGTTGTGCGCCTTTAATTGATCTTCTTACAACATATCTTGTTCAGCTTCCTTTAATTCTTCTTATTCGTCTCCCTTTAACTTTTCTTGTTTGCTGGCTGCCTTCTTCTCCGCCTATATCTGCTTGCAGTTTTCATCATGGGCTTGATTAAACATTCTCACAAACGAACACAAAGTTCCAACAACTGAAAGAAATATCACAACTTCGAATTTGTAAATGAAGTTTTAACACATTAAGATATTATCATGAATGTAAGTTGTTCTGATGACTGATTACCTTTTTCATATGGGCATTTTTTAGGGTCTTCTCCAAAGTAATTAACTAAAACATCCACCCAAAAAGTCTGAGTAAAATGCAGTGTTAGAAACTGGGATACTTGTACGCATCTTTATATTTAAAGGAATCATGTTATACCTACCACCCTAGAGTAAAACATGGCTAGGGACCTCACTTCAGGTTCCGCAGAAGCAAGAAACTTTTTCAGAGACTGAACATGGAAAACCAAAATATAACATTTAAGGTTAGTAATTAAAGTCAAAGTCAAACTCTCTACCAGTCCCAGTCCAATAACCTCCATATATATCAACTTAAAACCGTGTTGAAAGTAATTGATAGCCCATAATATAAATAAGGACAAGTTTGGTTGTCAAAAAGATGGAAAATACATGTCTGTAGGAATCATTCACATTCCATGTTAGATGGATTTCGTAGCTCGTTGAGAACTGAAGGGATCCAATTCCATTTCATTTTTAATAAAGGACCAAAATACCCTCATTGTATACAATTATTGTTGTTGAATTCCATTACATTTCTTGCCAGCCCCATGATAGAGTGCAATTCTTTGGGATTCCAATTCCCCCAAATTCCATATCCTTTGACAGGTTCCATTTATGGCTCTTATCAACTTTATGTGCATACCTTCCGAAATTTTTTAGACACATGTCCATCTTTTTTACATAATTTCTTTTCTTGGACTACTTTCTCTAGTCCTTTTGTCACTGCACACATTTCTTCCTTCAAGAATTTTAGCTGTATCTGGAATAAATTGATCATTTTAATCAAAAGAAACGAAACTAACATAACTCTGTCGAATCAAAAATGTGAATCCAACAAAAATCACCTTTGATGCAGCTTCCAAGCTGCCAAGTTCCCTGGAAAAATCTACAAGTTCAGGCAGTTTGTCTGCAAGCACCTAACATCACACAACATGGATACAATAAACAAAGTGAAAAAAATACACACCCACCCACACACACATATAGAGAAAACAAACAAATAAAAAAAAAAAAAAAAGTCTTACCTTATAAAGATAATGCATGAGAGTCGTCTTATTGCTCCTGTCACGTGTTTGGTTAAGTTTTAAGAGGCTGTCCAATCTGAACACAACAGCATCACCTAAAACACAAAGCCATGCTGTTGTAATTTCTTTAACTCTAAAAAAAATAAAAATAGAAAACTAACCTGTTGCAGTTCCCTGGTTGAAAGCATTTCCAAGAGAAACAATTGTCTGCATGACTCTCCTCAACTTTACAGAACTAATAAGCTGATATAACCACCATCAACATATATAACAAAAGTAAAATTTAATCCAATATTATTCTTACGGAATAACTGCATAATTAAAGTGATAGATAACTAATAACTTGCCTGTTCTACTGATAAATATAAAATGCTTAGCTTATCCCTAAGTTCTGTAACCTAAATTTGTAAAAATCACAGTAAAGTTAATACAAGAAAACAGGAAATGCAAAGAAAAATATAATATCTCCTGACCTGTGTACTAAACTGTAACTTATAAGAGTAAACTATGAGTTTAGCTTCCGAACGTGGAAATCTCATTAGCTCTATGAAGATCTGTTACAAAAAATCAGATGCTAAATTTTTAGATATCAGTCCCTGACTTCATTGACATTTCAATGATATAAAACTATAAATCCATAAGACAGGTATTATGTACCTGTTCACATTTGCCCAACTTATCGGGATCTCCTTCATAGCCCTAAGCATATATATATAAAACGTAAGTTATAGTATAAATAAAAGACATGGGTATGTAATGTAACGTAGAATATTGTAAATATACCTTAATTATTTCCATCTCCTCCCTTGTAGGACAGCACTGTATAAGGTTATCCACCTGATCAACAACATTCATTGCTGATTCATCCAACTTAAGGACATGTTCCTGTTAAGTTTCATGTACAACTAAAGTATTAAAAACATTCATTAGAAAACTTAATTTTGAAATAAATGCATAATGTTTTGAGATTACCATCAATTCAGGCACTGGTGTCTTCACCTTTGAAAGCAAGATTTCACAGTTATATGCCCGCTGATGATCAATCTGCAATAAGTGTGAAATAGCAACGGATATTCCATACTAAGATGTGTGAAGTCATTCCACTTTCAGTCATGGGTACAGTTATGGATTTTGCATTGAATCAAGAAAGAAAAATAAATTATTACCAATTGTATTTTTCCATAAGCCGATGTACAAGATAAATCCACACTGCTAAACATTTCTTGAACTTTACCAAATGCTTCAATTGGGAGTCCCTCTTCTTCAAAAGAAGACAAATCTACTCGAACAATAGAAGCTTTCGTGTTCGATTCGGATAAAAAAAACTTCATCCAATAATGATGAAAGTCGCTCAGATATAATGATGTGTGTGAAATTAAATACAAAATGCTTACGTTGTGAGGTTTCGAATATAACAAATTAACAAGTTCAAAAAAGAACGAAAATGCAATGTAAAGAAAAATACCTCAGCTTCAAAGTCTGTAGAAAACTGATCCTTAATGTCCCAAGATACGTCGATTTCATCATGATTAAGCACTAAAGTATTTGACTTGATGAACGCTGTGTTGAACATGGCCTTATACATAATATCTTCCTCCGCCATGTCATCATGCAAGTTAAGACACTCCAGCACAATGTCACCTTGAATATGGCAGTTAATATCTATTTTGACCACTTCACTTTCTGCCTGTGATGCATGGGAAAGGTATCACCAGGACTGATAAACTTTAAGAATAAGAAACAATGAAACATGGCCCTAAAAATATAACGGTTGATCACATAAATGGTAACAACAAATTGAATAAACTGGCTACAACAGGTTACGTTGCCAACAAAGAAAAATAAAAGTCGATGTTTAGTGCTCTAGCAAAACACAATTAGATCAAAGATGACCAATTGAATAAATATCATATAGTTTGTTACGCATATATGATATATGTCACTAACCCAAAAATTAATAAGGGCAAGAAACACTTCCACTTATATATAATCAGAGCAGGAAATAACATAATCTGGATAGGGTAGTGGTATATATAGCATACCTGATTGTAAGATTGCACATTTGTACTTCTTCTCGGGGTTGAAAAAAGAAGTTTAGAACTTTTATCAAATTGTAACGAAGGATTCTGTCCATATATCCGGAATATGGGACAACAACCCCCTTTTCCATCAAAATCAGGAATCATTCTCATCATCACACAATCTAATTTAAGTGCTTTGGCTGCTGGAGGCCACTGTTCATCATCATTATTTTTCTTTAACACATACTGTAAGTACCTCAACTGAGAAGCTAAAGAATTCAATGGTGACATCAGCTGTGGTGACACTGACACATCAGGTGGTGCCCGCTTATAAACCATCTCCAGGGCTCTATTTGCAGCAGTGTAATGTTTTCTGTGAAGTAGAAGAGCAGCCAACATGAAAGCCAAAACAGGCCAACCACCAACCTCACAGTGCATTAGCACAATGTTGTGTTGTCCAAGTGAGAGCCAGCTTTCACTTGATTTAAGAAAATGGTGGATCACCTCTATTGTCAACACAGGGCAACCTTCATAGTCCCGAGGGTAGTCCATTATAGTAATAAAGTATGGTGATAAAAATGTGTGGATCTTGCTTGCTATATCTCCCTCCCGAAAATTGAAAATCATGACTGAAGATTCAGGGTAAGTTTCTTGAAATTTACTAATGATGTTGCCCACGTAAGCTTTGTATTCTTCTTGTTCCCATGTTTTAGTTCTGAAACAAGAGTCAAAGACTATACACCGAATGGGCGTGTCATCAAAACAAATCGAAACATTTTCTAATCTTAAATATATTGAGTTGTATACGCATTTTCTAATCTTCTAGAAATTGTCATAAGTTTAATAGTAGGAGGGATGATGAATAACAATCCTATAGTTTCACTTACTAATGTGTCCAGAGACCACATACAAGCAATTCTTTGTAGTATTTTTTATTTCCTTTGACTGGAGCTTTAAAGCATCCAATAACACCACAAGTTCATAATCCAACACTTGTTTTGAAGAATAAAGCTGAACGATAAATGAATAAACATACAACTTTTTGACCCGGAATTCAACTACCTAATGATTCAAACTCCCAAATTGCAAGTAGGATCTAAACGTTGATAGAATTGAATTGATGATTTAAGGAGAAAGGTTTTAACAGAAAAGGTAATCGTATTACATACATACACGTATAAATCTAAATACTCCATTGAAGGGTAAATAATTACCGTATATTCTTTCAGAGACATCGACAAGTCCATTGGGCGGCTTCTTATACAGCAATTTCCGTAATAGCGCCATTCGAATTCACTGGTATCTGAAACCCTGGAAACAATTTTAAAAAATCGCCAGACAGCCCGACCTCTGTAAAACGGACATATTTGGGTGGTGTTTTGTACGTGTGAAAAAACTGCACAACTTTTGGTTGTCTATAGAATCTAACACTGGTGATTGATTCGTGTCAGGTTGATGATACTTCGATAGCAAAGTGAAGAAATGGTCTTTAGCTTACCAGATCAAGACATGAACGTTTTATGGCTTAAAAGTAGAGCTAAATATGGTAAGGATTTGTTTCGGCGTTACGGGACTCATGTACTAACAACCTTGAGTTTTTTACCCAAGGATAGTGGTTTTCAAAAATCTTTATTCAATGATAGCACTTTAAAAGTTATTTATATAATATTTGTATTTTATTATTTAAAGAAAAAATAAAAGCAAAAGTGTCAAAACTCAAAACTACCTTTTCACTCTCATCATTCTCGCATACGAAATCTTTTTCTTCCTCTTGCCTCGACCCTCAGTGCGTGTTTGGATAAATTAACTTATAACTTATTAGTTTATTTTTTATTAGTTTATTAGTGCTGAAAGAAAACAGTTTTTGCAAATTGAAAATAAGCACTAAACTATAAGGGGGTATGTTTATTGAAATTAGCTTACTTAGCTTCTCCCCACCGCAATTACCTGATTTTTAGTGTTTTCTCTTCAAACAATTAAACTTAGCTCATAGTGGTAGGGATAAGCAATAAGCTATAAGCTTCTTTTTTTTCTATATCCAAACACCATCTTAATCAGGGAGCTTAGGTTTCCTCACACCATTGTTATTGTTGTCTCATAGATTCCATTGTGTTCTCCTGAATAATAATATTTCACTCCCATTTAAACTCCAAATGGAGATTTTTTTTTCTAGTTGGCAAAAAATCAAGAATTCGAACTTAAATTTCTCATAAGCAACTCGTTAAAATCATTGTTTAAGTGTGAAGACTTTTGATATTTGTCTAAAAAACATAAAGGGGTGCGAACGGGTTGGGTACAGCCAGATGCAATTTTGCAGATTGTTTCCAACATTGGAAGAAAAACAGAGTTCGACATCTGATGTTTCTTAATTTCTATGTACTAATTGTTTATGGAAGTAAATAGTACACTATGTGGATTATCGATTTTCTGTAAGATCTATGTAAATCTAAATCTATCATGATGGCCCTTAGATTATTGATGATTGATGGTTATTAGTTCATCGTTCGATTGCGCTTCAGCTTCATGTAGGGAATCTGTAAGAAATTTGTATTTGTTTCCAATTTTAGGGGTGGGTGGATTAAGTGTAATTTTAACCATTTCGTTAGATTTGGTTCAACCTTGTACTCTTCTTCCCCGTACGTGGAGATAATGTAGATCAAAGGCGTGGGCCGCGTAGCATCAATGATGGATTTTGACTGTGAGGTAGGGGACACGACAACAAGGTAACAATAATCAAGTAAAAGCAAATAGAAAATAGGATCGATGGAGAAATATCGCTTAAGGAAAGAAGGGAGAAGAGGACATGTAAAGGAATATAGGGGTAGTTTCGGTACAATTAGTTTTCATATTATTTTAAAGGGAAAATGACTTGTGATAACTTATTTTTCCAAATGTACACATTTAGTCTTTATTTTTTTAAATAAACTCTTATAATTTTTTAATATGTACACATTAGGTCATTTTAATCGGATTCTATAGGTTTTGTTGATGTGGAAACACATGTGGTATAAATAAAAACTATAAAACAGTTATGTGGCTTAGTTAATCCTTATAAATGTATGTTAACATCCAAAATCAAGAGGAATCATGATTTTGTTTATGCTTGTTTGAAAATCAGAGTAATATTTTTCATAAAAGTGTTGCGGAATTTGTTCCCAAAATAAAATATGATAAAGATTTATCAAAGCATTTCCGTATAAATGTATTTCATTAAAAAAGACTCGGGATGTCATGTTTGATACAGATCAAAAGTATAAAAGTACAATATAATACATTATTTCATATCTACAGGCCTATATCCGTAATCCCTCATCCAAAACATCACATCTATGCTCGAGTGCCACTACCTGTAATATATATGAAACTGAGTGGGTCAGGCTTGGGAGCCTGGTGAGCACATATGGTTTTCAACACACAATAAATAAGTTTATTAATTTCATCAACCAACAATAACCCGATTACCCATTCCCATTATCCTCACATTACGTCCCTAAAACACCTATCATAAGGGACCTAGACTAAGAATCAACATCGGGATGGACACTAATGCTAAAGGGATTCCTCAGCAATAAATGTCCTTAAGGCAACCATGAGGGGGATGGAGTACACCGGTGAACACATCGTTCACAAACACCTACAAGTTGCAAGCCTGCTAGCGTTCCATTGTACTGTCTAGAAGAGTTTGTGGTCGTCATCCATACTCCGCTAGAAGACATAATCAACAACCACTACTAGAAAAAAGGCCTTTAATGACACGCAATTTATGACCGACACGAATCTACGATACGTAAAAGCACGTGACGTAAATATAATGTCCTCTATCGAAATTTTGAAGGATTTAGGGCGCGCATTTTTGCGTGACCTACAAATTGTGTTAGAAAAAAATAAAAATAAAAACACGGAGGGCACCAATCGTAATAAGCGTGTTGTGTAAGTATGTCGCTTTATAATTCTTGAGCGCGCCTCCAGACTATTTATTTTATCAAAAAATCGAAAGGATCATTCTAGGGTTCTTTTCAAGATGGAAGTGCTCTGCAACACTCACCTCATCTACCAACGATCTCGACTCATCTCTTTTAGCCGGCGAGCTTGGGCTAACCTTACCTCGACGGAGACCGCCACAGATGCTCAAGTTTACAAGCCCTAGGTCTGGTTTAACGACCATCAGATCTTCTTTGTGATCTGTCTCGCAAAACAAGCCTCCCTCTCAATAACATCGTCTTCCTTGTGTTGATCAGAAGACGCAGGGCTTGAATTCTCTCACACACAAGCACACTTTCTGTGTACTTTCTCTTTCCTCAATTCTCAGCCCTGATTTCGACTCGGAATCCTACATCTCCGATCTATTAACTTGAGTCCCTTTGAAACCCTAAGGTCGGAGTTGTTGTCTCATCTACCCTCTTAATAACATCGTCTTCCTTGTGTTGATCAGAAGATGCAAGCTTGAATTCTCTCACACACACAAACACACTTTCTGTGTACTTTCTCTTTCCTCAATTATTAACCCTGATTTCGACTCGGAATCCTACATCTCCGATCTATGAACCTGTGTACCCCTTGAAACCCTAAGGTTGGAGTTGTTGTCTCATCTTTCATCCCTTAAACATGAACTAGTAGAGCGAGTTAACCGAGATTATGCTGACTTCGTGAATCTCAGCACCAAACTTGTAGATGTCGATGCCGCTGTTTTGCGTATGAGGGCGCCACTCATTGAGATCCGTGAGAAAATATAAGGTACTGATATTTTGTATTGATGATGTTTTTTTTGTGTTTTTTCTTCTTTAATTAAAAGGGCACACTTCATGGATTGTTTATTTGCAAGCATTGTTGGTTCAGTTTTGTTGAGATCTGTTCTGAATTATCCTGATTGTAACTATTATGTGTGTGTTAAAATTCTTGATGTTATTCTCGGCTAAGCAGGTGTAAGTTAGGATTATGAAATTAATATAATTACATTGAAGGCTAATGAGAACTTGGTCTAACATAGTCCTAAAATCCTACCACGTTCTTAGCAAGAGCAAACTAAAATATTGTTATGATCGGTTTGAAAGGATAATTTGCAGAGTTCACTTGAAGAATGTGAGCATATACACATGGTACTGTGAAGTAGGATAAATCTACATTGAGGAAAGCTTTCATCATTAAGGAATTATCTAGAACTCTAAAATGTCAAGTACTTAACTAAAGTTAATGTGAGCATATACACACACACACACACTTATCGCTAAAAAATATGGTGTTGTTGGTCGAATGTGAATTCTGGTTCATTCCATATGTTTAACTTCTTCCATTTCAAAGACACATAATAGTTATAATTTGGTTTTGTAGGTATTCCAAGGAATTTTGCGATGCAATTGTAGCAAAATGCCTTATAGGGAGGCCAAAAATGGTGGAGAAGGCACAAATGGTGTTTATGTTTTGGGTGGAATTGCAGCAGCTGTTTGTGGTCCATGTTGTAGAGTAATTCAAAATCCTCCTGTTGTTGACTGCTTGCAGCCTGTTGTCAACATAGTTCCATTACAGGTATTTAAAAAAAACTGTACTCTTTATTTATTTCATTTTTTGTATATGTGTGAGGGTATGGGTTGCATTTCCGAAGGGCATTTTTGGTATAAAAGCAAATAAATGGATATACTTCATGGAGGATCATTAGTGAAACATATTCTCTTCACAAGACAGGGTGTTATTGGACATGTTTTTTCAAATTTAATTTTTACAAGAATTGTTTTTGTTAACTCATGGTGTTGATATTTAGGCATACACAAGCCAAATTATGGTGATGCTATGGTGGCTCTAGCCATTGGAGCTGACACAATCTTAAACCACGAAGAGAAGCAATCATAGAAAGCCTTCTACATTTGCCAAGTACGATCCATTTCCATTTCCATATTTCTAAAAAAACAGGGTTAAATTCAACAAATACTAACATATACTCTAATTGATTAAAAAAATCAATATTTTTTTTAAAGGCAAAGTGAAGGAAGTGTTGAAACTTGATGAAGAGATGAAAGATCTTGCAAAGTCTTTGATCTCAGAGCAATCACTTCTCATGTTTGGAGTAGCACACACCAGATGGGCGACCCATGGAGAACCATCTCCAAGGAATAGTCATCCTCAATCATCTGGTGCTGGAAATGATTTCTTGGTTGTTCACAATGGAGTTATTACCAATTATGAGGTCGGTTTCCAATTTTGTATAAAAGTTCCATTTTTGTATGAATTATTGCATATTGTTTCCACTTCTGCATGTATATATTCTTTCCTTTATTTCATAGATACATCAATTTCTGTATCATTTCTCTGTTTTATTTGTTGTAGTTACTTTTTTTGGGAATATGGTGTTTTATCTTCTTAACATACTGCAGGTGTTAAAGCAATCTCTTCTTCGACACAGGTTTACTTTTGAATCTGAGACAGATACTGAAGTGATCCCAAAGCTTGCAAAATTTGTTTTTGACAAAGCAAATGAAGAAGGTACTCGAAGTCTTTAAAGATACATATTTTCTCAACATATTTCATTATTCTTTTAGACTTTAATATTATGCTTGCCATCCTTATTTCCATAGTGGTGTAGCACAAAAAGACAACACCCTTTTACAAGTTTAGAACAAGATATATGATGAGATTTCAGACAGTTTATGTAGACTTGTTATTAGTTAAATGGAAAATACCAAAACTACCCTTATGAACCAACTTAATATAGAATTGAATGAATCTTTTACTGCTGTAGGTGAACAAACTGTCATGTTTAGTGAAGTTGTACTCGAGGTTATGTGGCATCTTGAAGGAGCCTATGCACTTATTTTCAAAAGCAGACATTATCCAAATGAATTGGTTGCTTGCAAACGTTGTAGTCCACTTCTTCTTGGTGTGAAAGTAGGTTATGCTTGTTATTTGCTATTTGTCAATAATATTTTAATATTACTTGATTTCATTTATCACTTTCTTCTGAACTGGTATTAAGAAATGAAATTCTTTTGCAGGAATTTGTTGAACAACAAAACAAAGGAACATCATATAATGATTTGAAGTTTATTTCAACAAATGGTCACCCAAAAGAACTTTTCCTATCTAGTGACCCTCATGCCCTTGTTGAACACACGAAAAAGGTCTTGGTGATTGTGGATAGTGAAGTTGTTCATATTAAGGTGCATACCCTGCATTCATTCATCATATGCTAGTTCTTATTCTAAATTGCTTTGTTCATTTTATAACTTTTTTAGTGTATTGTTTCATGTTTTCAAAAACCCTTTACACCTTTTTTCTCTTTCATGCTTGCCTCTTGAAATATTGTAATACTACACATTGATGTGCTAAAATAGTTTCCAAATCTATTTTAGTTTCCATATTTTAGGAGGTTTAGTTTGTTTGTATATTTTAATTTCCATATTTTAAAGATGGGTTAATGATTTTTAAGGTACTTAACTATCCAAAATGTTCACTTTAGTCCCTCACAAGTTCTTTTTATTGTTAAAGTCTATCAACTTAGGTTTTCAGTTGCATTCATATCAACATTTTGTTTAGTTGGTTACCTAAAAACAACATTAACCTTTTATAGATTTAGTTTCATATTATATTTGAAACTCTTGCAATTTCATTCAATATGAGTTTTTTTTTTCTTTTCTATTGTTGTTTGTTTCAGGATGGAGGAGTGACTATTCTCAAGTTTGAGCAAGGCAAGGGCAAAGACGTAAAAAAACATTTCAAGACCAAAGGGCACTGTCTATTCTTGAGATGGAGGTAGAGCAAATAAACAAGGGCAAATGTTAACATTACATGCAGAAAGAGATTCATGAGCAGTCGGAATCTTTAACGACCACCATGAGGGGCCGCCTTATACATGGTGGTTCCAGCAACAGGAAGTGTGCTCTAAGGATCATTTGAAAACTATTAGGAGGAGTAGAAGAATTGTATTAGGTTTTCAACCTAAAAACCCTAGTAGCCACAACTATTTAAAGACCCTTAACCTAAGGATTTCATCCCTAAGCATTCTAAGAAGAACCCTGGTTGATTTTCCTTATCTTTCCAAGTCATCCTTTGCATTGAGTGTTTTTGACTCCATTAAAGGTGCAACACTTGGGACACTAAGTTTTCAACAGTCAAGGTGTTCTTGTTATTACTACATAACAAGTAAAGTAATCATCAAACCCTAATGTTCATATGATTTTCGAATTGTGTATGCTAGTTTTAGGGTTATTGCTTTGGAGTTTGTATTTGCATGTTCAATAGAGAAAACTTAAATCCAAAGTATTAAGGTTGCATGTACACCATATGAATGTTGTAGTGCTCAAAACTCATATATATATATATATATATATATATATATATATATATATATATATATATATATAGGGTTGAGTTATTGTGCGAACTAAAAAAAGAGTGAAAACTTACGAACTAATGGTCAACAAGTGAAAACTACGTGTCAGCAGGCATATGGACTGCAGAATGATGCATAAATATGTTGGAACTTTATATATAAAGGAATTGCAAGTTGGCAATTTCCTTTGTATCCCACATTGGTGGGGGGAAGAAACTTATGTGGGTTTATAAGCCTATTCCCTTGATAAGCCTTCAAAGGCTTTAGTAGATCAAAGGAATGGGCCAAGCCCACGCGCGCACCTTGCCTAGCCTAGCACTAGCCGACATCGCGAGTGCGCGAAATGGCACGATTTAGGCGCACTTTGCCCTTCGCAAGACGCATCGGGAGCTGAGGAGCTTTTATTTTTGATGAGTTTAGGTCAAGCTGGTTTGACCGATCCGGTCAAATGGTTGACCGTCGTTGACTTCGTGGAGGCCAAGTCAGGGTATTCTAGAAGGATCAGGAAACGGCTTGCTTGGAGAGCAAGCTGACGCCCTAGGGTTTATGGGGTCGTCCTATGGGGGCCCGTTTGATGCCTTCTAGGGTTACGATACCTATAAATACAGCTCCCTAGGAGCCGTATGGATACTCTAGAAATCTGAAAGCTTCCTCCCTCTCTCTGCGTTTTTTTACCTAGTTTCCAAGTAGTCGGTTTTTGTGTTTATCGATTTCCAGTGCTGTTGGACTATTGATAAAGCTGCATTAAATCCTGGGGTTTTAATCTGTTGCTTACAGCCAGTACAAGCGAAGTAAAAACCTTTAAGGACAGGAGTCTGATCCGTGCAGTTGTTTCAAGATCAAGATCAGCAATCAATAGGTCGGTTTTACTTTTCTGTCTTGTGTTTAATTCGTCCAATAATAGGACAGTCTTCTTCTACCTTTCTTATAACCGGATCTAATCGAGAAGGATAGATCTGGTTTCTGGATGAAACTCGGTAAATATAATAATAATAATTGGATCTATTATTCACAACTAATCGACATATAATTCTCAATATTATTTGTTGGTTTTCTTGCGCGTCTATTAGTTTGTTATTTACAACAATCTTAAAGGTTTTTATATTTTATTGTGATCAATCAACAGACTAATGGACTCTACTGCTAGCCTCCATTTCATGAACCAAGAGTTTGCCAAACTTGACCAATTCGATGGTCAGAACTACACTCGTTGGGCCAAAAAGGTCAAGTTCATGCTTCATGTCTTGAAGCTCTCCTTTTTGTTGGACCCAAAACTGGCACCAATTCCTGATGATCCAATTCCAAAGGAAGGGGAATATGTGGACCCAACGGTTATTATAGAACTGGAAAAACAAAGGATTCTACATAGAGAATCCGAGGAATTGTGTGTGGGTCACATCAAGAATTCCCTATCTGATCGGCTCTATGATCTTTACTCGCCGGTCAAAGATCCTAAAGAGCTATGTAGTGCGTTGGAACTCAAGTATAAGGCACATGAAGAAGGTACTAATAAGTACCTTGTATCCAAGTACCTTGAGTTTAAAATGGTTGATGAAAAACCAATTATGGAGCAAGTGCATGAACTCCAAGTCATGGTCAACAAGTTGAACGCACTCACCATCTCTCTTCCAGAACTCTTTCAGGTTGGTGCGATCATCGCAAAACTGCCACCCTCGTGGAAAGATTTTTCTAATAGAATGATGCACAAATCTGAGGACTACTCCTTGGATGATCTGATGAAACACCTCCGCATTGAGGAGGAAACTCGCATCAGGGACAAGCGAGGTAAAGTTGGACAAAGTGTGCATCATGTGTCAGCTGGGAGTTCTAGCCACAAAGGCAAATCTGGGGGACAGAACAAGAAGAATTTTGGGCCCAAGAAACAAAGCTTCAAGAAACCGGGTCATCAAAATCCTAACTCAAAGCCAAAAAGGGCCGGTCCTTGCCACTTCTGCGGAGAGATTGGGCACTATGCGAGAGAATGCAAAGATCGCAAATCAGTACCGGTTGCACATGCAGTCGAGAAGGTTACTGACATGGTGGCTAGTGTGAACCTTGGAGAGATTTTCATGATCTCCTCTCTTACTCGAGCAATCTGTGCTCGAGGTTGGTTCGTGGACACTGGAGCCACTGTGCATGTTTGTGGGCAACGAGAGAGCTTTCACACCTACCAACCCATGCCTCATGGGATGGTTGTCGTCTGTGCTGATGGTCATAGAGCTGAAGTTCTAGGATGGGGTGATGTTCGGTTGAAGTTCACACGTGGTGAATGGGTGAGTCTTCGATATGTTCTTCATGTTCCTACTATCTCGAAGGGTTTGGTTTCTGCGGACAAGTTTGACAAGGGTGGCGTCAAGATGGTGCTTGAGAGAGGCAAAATTGTGATCACTAAAGGCAGAAGATATGTTGGGAGGGCTAACAACACTTCGGGAATGTATCGTTTATGTCTTAGTGATGAGGGTAATATGAGTGGTCCTAGTGTTGAGAGTGGTGTTGCTAGTGTGTCGAGTGTTGGTAATGATGTAATTGATGGATTGGTTGCTAATGGGAATGAAGTGAACTTTTCTTGTTATATTGTTTGTTCAATTTCTTTATGGCATAAACGTTTAGCTCACACTAATGTTAAAAACATTGAAAAAATGCAAACTAAAGGTATGTTAAAATATAACACAAAAGATTTTGAAAAATGTGAAACATGTGTAAACTCAAAGTTCACTAAGAAACCATTTCCATCAGTTAAGAGAAACACTTCGTTACTTGAGTTGATTCATTCTGATATATGTGAGTTAAATGGAATCCTTACTCGAGGAAGAAGAAGGTATTTCATCACATTTTGTGATGACTTCAGTAGATATCTACATGTTTATTTGTTGAGATCAAAAGATAAAGCTTTTGATGCATTTAAACGATATAAGGCTGAGGTCGAAAATCAACTTGAAAGACGCATCAAAATTCTTCGCTCGGACAGAGGCGGAGAATATTTCAACCAAGAGTTTGACACATTCTGTGAAGAGAATGGAATCAAACATGAGAGAACATCACCATACACTCCCCAACAGAATGGTTTGGCTGAAAGAAAGAATCGAACCCTTTGTGAGATGGTCAACTGTATGTTGAACCAATCGGGTCAACCAAACAATCTGTGGGGGAAGCACTATTGACTGCTTGTTATGTTCACAATAGGATCACTAGTCATGTGATTCCTACAAGCCCTTATGAGTTGTGGAAAGGTAGAAAACCTAACCTAGACTATTTGAAAGTGTGGGGTGTCACAACTAGAAATTTTGTGTCATGTAATCTATACACTCAAGTTAATGCGAATCAAAACTTAAGAGCATGTGTGATACCTACTATTATGACATCAAAAACTTCAATCAAATACATCCTACAAGTGCTACAAATGGTCATCAAACAATTGGAAACCCTAGAAGTTCTTGTTTAGATCCACTTTGGACTAGGACTTCCTTATTGGACCCAAATGGACCAATAAGCTTCCAATTTGACTATCATGGGCATAGAACCCTAATTGGGCTCTATTTGGACCCACATTAATTTATTTCAACATTTTGGGCCATATTGGGCCTAGAATGAAATGAATTAAAAGCTTTGATCCATGAATAACCTAAACTAGTCCAACAAATATGTAAAAATCATACTATATTCTTTTACGTTAAAACTCACCCAAACTAACTCTAATATTGGGCTTAGGGGCAAAAAGCCCAAATTTTCCTTTTCCTTCAAGATTCTCGGCCCAAGGCCCAAGTCCAAGAAGAAGTGGTGAGGAGTTGACTTTGGTTTGCCACCTCATTATTGTCTTTTGGATTTCCATGCAACATATCACATACCTCCATGCAAGTATCACTTCAAAGATCACTTCTTCTTTTCCCTCCTTCACTCTCGGCCATCTCAAACACACACACATCTCACAAACTCTCTCAAGAACACTCAAGAAAACTTCCTCCCTCTCCACTCAAAGATCTCGAAATTTAAGAAGCTTTCAAGAGGATATTTCCACAAACTCTTCATCTAAGGTAAGGTTATGCTTGGATCCATGACTTAGATTCTTTGTTTTATCAAAATATATTCCTAATCCATGCAAAAATCGTGATCTTACCTCTTAGAAGCATACCAAACTCGAGATCTTCAAGAAAAGGGTGCTAAGGCCAAAAATCACCAAGTTTTCTTCCATCTTTTCTTCAAAAACCGAAATCACACCCTAAGGTGAGCTTCATACCCCCTATTTTCTGTTTTTATGAGTTTTGTGGGGGGGGGGGGGAATACAAGTGAAAGTGTAGATCTATATATGTTTTGTATGCCTTGTATGATTTCTATGCTTATATGTGTGTTTTTGTGTGTTATAATGTTGGATCTAGCCTTAAAACCCCTAAAAACCGAGATATACTTTATGATTAATGATACTAGCATCAAGTATATTTCTACATACAAAGTGTTCCAAGAAAAATAGCTAAATGGCTTAATAACATTTTATTTGGGCTACAAACTCAATTTTTGGACATAAAATGTTAAAAATATAAAGTTAAAGGGCCCAAAATGTCATATCACG